AATAACAGTGTGATCCTTTTTATTTATCCAACGTGCTCGTAAATCTGGGGGGGGGGGTTAGACTTTTACGTGTTCGACGGAAAACCGGCGACAAATATTCGATTATCGAACCATTAAGAGGTGTTTTACGATACGTGAACGTGGGTCGAAACGATGGATAAAAACATTTGGCACGCGATTTCGCGCGTTTCTTCTATTGTTGAATCTTGCGAGAATTTCTCACATGTCTTAAAAAAAAAAAAAAAACATGTAAAATATTTCTTTGAATATTTGAATATAGAAGTATTCGGATAGAAGATATTTCATTCAACGACGAGATCAATGATTCATTCATTATTCAAATTAAACTAATTATATCTTAATTGATACACGATAATATAAAACACGTTCGAATTTATTTTGGAATAAACGTTACAACAATTTTAATACAATTTCTTTTAATTTTATCGAATACCGATCTATCGAATGCGTATTAAGAGTTAATTACATCTCGATACATCTTCAAAATTCGTTCTCTCGAATATGGAGTTATCGATTAAATTCATATTATTCGTTAATTTTTTTTCATTCGATAACAATATAAAATTTTGCGGGACATTTTGCGCATATATTTTTAATATCGCGATTCGATACCCGATATCTCTTTGGTAATTTTAATTGCTCGAGAAATCGATTAAGTTTGAAAGGAAATTCATCCCAACGACAACATATAAACGAAGTTTTCAATTAGTTTCACGAGTAAATTTGAAAAACTTCGGTATATTGCATTAGAAATGATCATGTCGAATATATAATAATATTTCTGTTATTCGACACTATTTTTTCTTCCGGAAGGAAAAGAAAAAGGTGTAAAAAATTTTTCGAAGAGAATCGAAAAGGATTGAATTTTTTTCTATTATAAATAGATTACGAATGGATAGAGTTTAAAATTCAAATCTATCTTTAGAGAAGAATAAATATCGTCCTACGTAATTTTAATGCTTAGCGGTATTTTAATCAAAATGTTTGTTTACATTTTAATTTTTACGAAGCAGGAAAAGTAGCGAGCTTATCTAACAATTTCTGCGCGAAGAAAAAACACTTTTCATGAAGGAACGTTATGGAACATTTGTGGGGGATGGGAATTATGATAAGACCAGGAAGCTCTATATTATTATAATCATGGAACGGTGTATCCACGTATTTTCTTCGCAAGGATAAAATGAAATCGTAGAAGGCAAGCGTCGTGGGAGAGATTTCTCTCGGAATGAAACGCGAAGGGGAATACGAAATGGAAAAAGAAACAAAATTTTTTTTTTGAATATAGAGGGCGAATGGAACGACGTAGAAAAGATTAAAAATTCGAATTATTATTCTCGAGAAATTTAGAGAAATTGATACGTGTAAATAAATCATTGATACTTTTTCTAAAAAGAAGAAAAATAAATAAATAAATAAATGAAACGAAATAAGAATCGCAATGTACGAGACGAGTCATTTAACGCTTGAAAATCGATAACAGGAAAATCTTATCTTCGCTGTTGAGTAGAAAAGGATCGTATGTAGTCGGACGTGAAGCGAAAAGAAGTGCTATTTTCAAAAAATTTAACCACATTAAGTCTTTAATTAACGATAACAAATAATTGTGGGAATCTAGAGTTTCTAAAACTTCAAATACTAGTCTGAAACTATTGTCTACTGAAAAAAGGAAAAAGTAGTTTTTAATATAAAAATATCGTACGTTTGAAACAGGGGGGTTGAAAAAGAAGATGTTTATTCTTTCTTCACCATCCCTTTCCATTCCTTACAATCCTATTCTCTCTCTCTCTCTCTCTCTATCATCTCATATTTTCTCCTCCCTTCTCATCTTTTCTATTTACCACCCTTCTCCATCCACGTCCTCCTTTCTTTTTTTTTTTTTATCATTCTTCTTCCCCTCGAGAATCACAGAGAAGGAGGAAAATATTTTTTCTCTCAAGCCAAACTGTGATTTCTCAACAGTGGCAAGAAAAAAAAAAGGAGAACTTGAAACTTCTAATATTCCTTCGATTATTTTTCACAATATTCCCGCACCCCATATTTTTCCACGAGAGGGAGAGAGAAACGGAGTGGAATCGGTTTCGAGAAGCGACAGAAGGAAGAAATTTCTGGAAGGGAGAACGACGGCAAAATGAGACAAAAGCGGTGCGATTTGTAAAAGGAGAAATGCCGTGGGTGTGGAGGAATACGTGACCGTTGTACCATATTTGCGGTGGCCGTGAGGCCACCAACCACTTCTCCACCCGCGTGGAGAGAAATTTTGAGAGGAAACTGACGCATTTATCCTCCAATACATCGTTCACATCCTCTCGTTTCGAGGGATCGGATTAAATTAAATTCTTTTCATACGGATACGGTGCGATTAGCATTTTACAATTTCTAACATGAAAAGATTCTAAGGGGGTGGGTATTTCTTGAAGGGATAGGGATTATTTCTATGAATGCGTTATTATATAGGAGATATAAGATTTTAATCTCAAGATCTTTCCTATACCTAGGCGATGTTGCCTAAATTAAAATTGGAACTTGCTAAAATTTCACATTATCCGTCAATTTCGATTTCTTTTTCTTTCTTTTC